GGTTTAGAAGCCCCTCCTACGGTAAAACAATTAAAAGCTCAAGCAAAACAGCTTGGATTCACGGGTTATTCAAACCTGGGAGAGCCGGGTTAATCGCATTGTTATCACATGCCCCCGTAGCAAAACCTCCCACTGTAAAACAATTGAAAGTTCAGGCACGTGATTTGGGGTTAGGGGGATATTCCCGAATGAGAAAGCCACAGCTTGTAGAACTGTTACGGCAGAATAGAGCTGTCGACCTACAGTTCGTGCGCACTGGTGCTGTAGGCAACTATTTGAGAGGCTGGCGCATGCATGTTGATAGGAACATAGATATCGCAGATATCAAACCTCTGATAGCTGATAAGGTCAACCAGGAACTAACCAGTCTAGGAAGTATCAAATTTCAAATCACAGTTAAAATGTCACTCGATAAGCAGGTGGGGGGAGGTGTCACTGAGTACGTTCAGCCTTACTTCCGGGGTAAACAAGAGGTCGTGACCCATATAGAGACCATTGACGCATCAATCGATACTAGTTTTCAGCAGATAAGAGAATACCTAGAACGCTACACACACTTGGGGTCGGGTGGACTGTAGATAAAATCGATAATGTCTATCTAGACATAGCTAACTACGTGCGCCGTTCAGGCCGGGTCATACCTAGACTTGCCTCCCTACTATAGGAAAAAACATGCCATAGTCAACGTCAGGAATAGAGGGAGACGATTGCTTGAGGTTAGCTATCAGGTCAGCCTTGTTTCCAGCTGACACTAATTCGAACAGGCCTTCTAGTTATCCCAAAGACGATGGGCTCAACTGGGATGGTATAGATGAACCCACCCCATATCCCAGATAACTAAAATAGAAAAACAGAATAATCTAGCTATAAATGTCTTTGGGCACGAAGGTAACACAACAATAGTGCACAGGGTCAGCCCAGTGGTGGGGAAACGTGTTGAAACCCACTTATCAATATATTCATGATCCAGCGAGGTGACAAGTACCACTACGCTTGGATAAAACACTTTAGCAGGCTGTTGTATGACCAATCGGGCACACAGAGAAAAGACCCACTTCTGCGAACGGTGCCTACATGGCTTCACACGAGCTGATTTATTAGAATCCCACACGGAGATTGCCAAAGATTGTTAGGCAGACGGCTATACAGTGCGACATGCCTAAGGAAGGTGACAATATCCTAAAATTCGGTAACCACAAGAACCAAATGTCTGTGCCTTATATCATATACGCCGACTTTGAAGCCTTGGTTAAACCAGTTGAGGCTGCCGCCGGCTCAACCACACTCAAAACACAAGAGCATGAAGCCTGTGGGTTTGGATACATTGTCGTCCGTTGTGATGGGGAAACGAAAGCTCCCGTAGTGTATAGGGGCCCTGACGCGGCTGAAAGGTTTCTAAAGTGTTTGCAGGAGGAAGAAAAAATTATTAGGAATGCACTGTATAGAGTCGCTCCCATGCGTATGACCCGAGCCGACAGGCTAGCTCACGCCTGTAGCACTAACTGTCACGTGTGTGACTCACCACTGAATGGTGATTCGGTGAGGGATCACTGCCACGTAACCGGTAAGTATAGAGGCGCCGCTCACAGCACGTGTAACCTCAAGCTTAGAATCAACCCTAAGACAATAAACATCCCCGTTGTCTTTCACAACTTGAGAGGGTACGACTCTCACTTAATCATGCAGGCCATCGCGAAAATCGATGGTAATATAACGTGCATTCCCAACAACATGGAGAGATACATCTCCTTCAGCTTAAACGGCCTTAGGTTCATAGATTCAGTACAATTTCTATTGTCTTCATTAGACAGTCTGGTCAAGGCCAACGATACCTTCCCTATCACCGACCGATACACAGACGCCGAGACTAGACCCCTGCTTATGAGGAAGGGTGTGTACCCCTATGAGTACATGGATAGTTGGGCCAAGTTCACCGAGACCAGACTACCCCCCATCAGAGAATTTTACAGCAATCTGACCGACTCGGAAATATCCCAAGATGATTACTCCCACGCTATGAATGTATGGAATAAACTAGGTTGTGAGAATCTGGGTGACTATCACGACCTGTACTTGAGGACGGATGTACTGCTGTTAGCTGACGTGTTTGAGACGTTTAGGCGGACGTGTTTCAAGCAGTATAAACTCGACCCCGCATGGTATTACACCAGCCCAGGTCTGTCGTGGGATGCCTTGCTTAAAAAGACTGGTGTTAAGTTGGAATTGCTTACAGATTATGACATGCACCTATTCATTGAGAAAGGCTTGCGAGGTGGAATCTCCATGGCAACCAAACGATACGCGAAAGCAAATAATCAATACGTTAAGGGCTACGACCCTAGCAAGCCAACCAATCACATTCTCTACCTCGACGCCAACAACCTGTACGGCTGGGCCATGAGTCAGTATCTACCCACAGGGGGATTCGAATGGGCGTCACCCATTGATGTTATGAGCATCGCACCAGATTCGAACAAAGGTTATATCCTCGAGGTTGACTTGGAATACCCCAAGGCATTACACACATCACACAACAGCTACCCCCTAGCCCCCGAACGTATGAGGGTTAACCCGGACTGGATGTCTGAGTACCAACATAACTTGTTAGGCAGGCGGGTGACGGACGTTGAAAAACTTGTGCCCAACTTAATGAATAAGACCAAGTACATCGTTCACTACCGCAACCTACAGCTGTACCTGTCGTTGGGTATGAGGCTGACCAAAATACACAGGGTGCTCGTGTTCGATCAGAGCCCCTGGATGGAGCCCTACATCAGAATGAACACAGACCTCCGAAAGCTGGCCACCAGTGACTTCGAGAAAAACCTCTACAAGCTCATGAACAACTCGGTGTTTGGTAAGACTATGGAAAACCTGAGGAAACGCGTGACCGTGAAGCTGGTTCGGTCGAATGAGGAAGACAAGCTCAGGAGACTGATAGCCAGTCCGGCATTCAACCGTAGCAAGATATTCACCGATGACCTAGTTGCCCTACACATGAAGAAAAGCCACATAAAATTCAACCGGCCTGTTTACGTGGGGATGAGCATCCTCGATTTATCCAAACACCTGATGTACGACTTTTACTACAACGAACTTAAGAAACAGTACGGTGACAGGTGTGAAGTTCTGTACACTGACACGGATTCCCTGCTGATGGAGATTCGAACCGAGGACGTGTACGTTGACATGAAAAAAACACCTCGATTTGTATGACACCAGCGACTACCCTAAGGACCATGCCATACACAGTACGGTAAATAAAAAGGTCCTAGGTAAGATGAAGGACGAGTGTGCTGGCACGCCCATAGCCGAGTACATAGGGTTGAGGCCTAAGATGTACTCCATACTGAAGGCCGACAATGGTGAAATCCGGAAGGCTAAGGGTGTTAAGAAGTATGTGGTGAAACAACACATCAAACACGCCAGATTCAAGGAAGCCCTGTTCAAGACCCGTACCTTTAGGCATAAAATGAACACACTTAGAAGTGATGGGCATAAGATATACGGACTGACTATAAACAAGACGTCCCTGTCGCCTATGGACACTAAACGTTGGATAGCTATTGATGGGATAAACACGTACGCATACGGGCATGAGAAAATTGAACCAAGAACTTAGATATAAATATCGGGACGACATGTCACGGAACCAAAGAAAGTTTGAGGCTATTTACTACAGCCCGCGTGGGTACTGGAAAGGAGCTAGCGCTGTAGATAAGCTAGCTAAAATGGCGCGAGTACCCCCCGGAGGAAGCCAAAGCGTGGCTTGAAAAACAAGCCCTGTGGCAGATCTATTTACCGGCACCACGCTACGTGCCTAGAAGGAGGTTCGGTATTAACATACCTAATAGCGTTCACCAGGCAGACCTACTGTTCCTACCCCCCCCCGACAAGAGGTACAAGTATGCCTTAACTGTCGTGGATGTGAGCCAGTCGCTACAAGGAAGCCGAACCCTTGACCGCGAAAGATTCGGCCCAGGTAGCCAGAGGATTCGAACGCATATACAAACGCAGTCCGCTGACGTGGCCAACAGAGCTTCAAGTTGACCCCGGACGGGAGTTCATGGGTGCCGTGTCACAACTGCTAGCCAAACACGATACAAAGGTCAGGCGTGGCACGGCTGGAGCCCATCGCAGCCAAGCCATAGTTGAGAGATTTAATAGGACTTTGGCTGAGCGCTTATTCGGACATCAGTATGCCAGGGAGATGGCCACCCCAGGAAAACGATCGACTGAATGGGTCACGAGGTTACCCAAGGTGGTGTCGGCAATCAACCATGAAGTAACCCGGCTCACTGGCAAGAAACCGGCAGACGCTATCAAACTAAAATCAATAGTTGCAGAGCCGGCTGCTCCATTGCGTGGGAAGGAGAAACAGATACCAGATAGGGCCCTAGTGAGGTATCTATACCAGTCGGGGGAACACGAGGGTGATAGCCGTAAGCGAGCCACCGATCCTATATGGTCAGTCAAAACTTACAACATAGATAAAGTGGACATCAAAGCAGACGAACCTAACTTGTACTACTTGAGGGATGGGCCAGGTAGGGGGTTTGTAAGAGCGGAATTATTGATCGTACCGTACGGCACAGTGTTACCTCCAGTCAACACGGCATAGACCCATGTCCCCGGTGGCGCTATCGCCCCAAACTTTTTCATAGTAGGGGTAATGGTAGCAAGAGCTAAGGGCCCAACCAAAGCCTTATTTGACAAATAAGGCTTTGCAGAGGCTTTGTTGAAAGTGATCCAGAACCCCCATATACAATGGGGGTAGCTCAGTAGCTCGGCTAGAAGGTGCGTTCGTATCCCCCAACTTTTTCATAGTAGGGGTAATGGTAGCAAGAGCTAAGGGTCCGGCCAAAGCCTTATTTACCAAATAAGGCTTTGCAGAGGCTTTGGTTGAAAGTGATCCAGAACCCCCATTGTATATACTACTATGTTTAATGAGCTGTACGTGTTGTTCCCGGTTCCGCGTCGTGTAACGGAAGAAGCTTAAACAATGACTATGAGCCCACATGACAGTCTGACAATGGACAGGGTGACTGTGTGCACAGTAGCTCTGATCACAGCTGTTTATTCGGAGCAAAGTAAGTTTTACCACCTTATCGTTGGAATGTGTAGTATATGCTTACATACACAAGTCTCTGTTTTCGTTTAGGTTCGTTTTCCATGGCGCTTTTGTAATAATTTTCTTAAAAGTGTAAAGGATTTCTATGTTACTGAGTAAAATGTACATGCATATCCTTTTGAAAACAGTTGTTTATAACATGTCGTATTTGTTTTACTTAATCCTAACATTCCATGTCCTGTTAGTTGTTCAATTATACTTATACTTATACTTATTCTTATACTTATTCTTATACTTATACTTATACTTATACTTATACTTATTCTTATTCTTATACTTATACTTATACTTATACTTATTCTTATTCTTATACTTATACTTATACTTATACGTATACGTATACTTATACTTATTCTTATTCTTATACTTATACTTATACTTATACTTATACTTATACTTATACTTATACTTATACTTATATTTATACTTATTCTTGTTGTTAGCCAGCTTACATCCAAAATGGTGGGAGGGCATTGTCTGCGTGCCCGTTCATCGCAACAGTTAGCCCAGTCAAGTTGTAGCCTGAATTAGCAGCTGCTTACGAAAGTCTGATTGTGTGACTTTGGTAGCTAAATTATTTTTATGAACCGAAATATCTCGTTATGTCAATTATTTGTTCTTTTATACCGAATTCAGAGTACATACTTGCCGAATAGGTCTTAGACTCTTTAGCAACCCATGAATATCGCAAACGGCGACTAACGGTATCGGGTGGTCAGGTAAGCGTGTATACGAACCAGTGCTTGGTTCACTGCCGTGAACCGTCAACCAGTTGATGGAATTGACCACCCTAACCATTATGTCGCAACCTAGCAGCATTGGCTGTTTGGGACCAACTGTAGTCCGACCACCCGCCTGTTTGCAACCAATGGTTGTCGCAAGGGGACACCGAATGGTGTTCTCGCTAGACACCACCGACGTGTGCTCACGTCTTTGTCTGGTCACGTGTCATGGTTGTATTTTCAGTTGTCATTTTCAAACCACAAGTTGCACCTATAAAGATAATAGAGAAAACTCCAGCCAAAATCTCTTGTACCGTAAAGGATGGTCAAGACAGTTCGACATGGAGGTACAAATGGTCCATCGGGAAACAAATCATCGGCAGGAAATCAAGGATCTTACTGAGAGCCGACAGACACAGGTTCGACGATGGAAATCTGACGTGCACTGTACGGAATAGCTCCAATGTCGAATACGGGAGTGCAGCTGTAGCCGTTAGTGTACAGTGTGAGTACAGCACCTGAATACACGTAGAGTACACTACGGTCATGACGAAAACAGTCTTAACAAACTGACGAATAACACGAACTTATTGTCCATGCCACGTGCTGTATATTTCAATCTAAATGTAGATAACTACGGTTATGACGAACACAGTCTTAACAAACTGACGAATATAACGAACGTATTGTCAATGTCACGTGCTGTATTTTTCAATCTAAATGTAGACAACTACGGTTATGACGAAGACAGTCTTAACAAACTGACGGATATAACGAAATTCTTGCCCATGTCACGTGCTGTATATTTCATTCTAAATGTAGATAACTACGGTTATGACGAATACAGTCTTAACAAACTGACGAATATAACGAAATTCTTGTCCATGCCACGTGCTGTATGTTTCATTCTCAATGTAGATAACTACGGTTATGACGAACACATTCTTAACAGACTGACGGATATAACGAACTTATTGTCCATGCCACGTGCTGTATATTTCATTCTAAATGTAGACAACTACGGATATGACGAACACAGTCTTAACAAACTGACGGATATAACGAAATTATTGTCCATGCCACGTGTTGTATATTTCATTCTCAATGTAGATAACTACGGTTATGACGAACACTGTCTTAACAACCTGACGAATATAACGAACGTATTGTCCATGCCACGTGCTATATATTTCATTCTCAATGTAGATAACTACGGTTATGACGAACACAGTCTTAAAAAAACTGACGGATATAACAAACTTATCGTCCATGCCACTTGCTGTATATTTCATTCTCAATGTAGATAACTACGGTTATGACGAACACTTTCTTAAGAACCTGACGGATATAACGAAATTATTGTCCATGCCACGTGCTGTATATTTCATTCTAAATGTAGATAACTACGGTTATGACGAATACAGTCTTAACAAACTGACGGATATAACGAAATTCTTGTCCATGCCACGTGCTGTATATTTCATTCTCAATGTAGATAACTACGGTTATGACGAACACAGTCTTAACAAACTGACGAATATAACGAAATTCTTGTCCATGCCACGTGCTGTATATTTCATTCTAAATGTAGATTACTACGGTTATGACGAATACAGTCTTAACAAACTGACGGATATAACGAAATTCTTGCCCATGTCACGTGCTGTATATTTCATTCTAAATGTAGATAACTACGGTTATGACGAATACAGTCTTAACAAACTGACGAATATAACGAAATTCTTGTCCATGCCACGTGCTGTATGTTTCATTCTCAATGTAGATAACTACGGTTATGACGAACACATTCTTAACAGACTGACGGATATAACGAACTTATTGTCCATGCCACGTGCTGTATATTTCATTCTAAATGTAGACAACTACGGATATGACGAACACAGTCTTAACAAACTGACGGATATAACGAAATTCTTGTCCATGCCACGTGTTGTATATTTCATTCTCAATGTAGATAACTACGGTTATGACGAACACTGTCTTAACAACCTGACGGATATAACGAACTTATTGTCCATGCCACGTGCTATATATTTTATTCTCAATGTAGACAACTACGGATATGACGAACACAGTCTTAACAAACTGACGGATATAACGAAATTCTTGTCCATGCCACGTGCTGTATATTTCATTCTCAAAGTAGATAACTACGGTTATGACAAACACTGTCTTAACAAACTGACGAATATAACGAAATTCTTGTCCATGCTACGTGCTGTATATTTCATTCTCAATGTAGATAACTACGGTTATGACGAACACAGTCTTAACAAACTGACGAATATAACGAAATTCTTGTCCATGCCACGTGCTGTATATTTCATTCTAAATGTAGATAACTACGGTTATGACGAATACAGTCTTAACAAACTGACGGATATAACGAACTTATTGTCCATGCCACGTGCTGTATATTTCATTCTAAATGTAGACAACTACGGATATGACGAACACAGTCTTAACAAACTGACGGATATGACGAAATTCTTGTCCATGCCACGTGTTGTATATTTCATTCTCAATGTAGATAACTACGGTTATGACGAACACAGTCTTAACAACCTGACGGATATAACGAACTTATTGTCCATGCCACGTGCTATATATTTTATTCTCAATGTAGACAACTACGGATATATCGAACACAGTCTTAACAAACTGACGGATATAACGAAATTCTTGTCCATGCCACTTGCTGTATATTTCATTCTCAAAGTAGATAACTACGGTTATGACAAACACTGTCTTAACAAACTGACGGATATAACGAACGTATTGTCCATGCCACGTGCTGTATATTTCATTCCCAATGTAGACAACTACGGTTATGACGAACTATCTGAACTGAGTGATGCTTTTACGTTCGTCATAACCGTACTTAACTGTATGTATGTTGTATCGGGCATCTGTTCTCTTAGGTCGGGACATTTGATATTCAGGAGATGGGGAAGGGAGGGAGGGAGTAGGCCCAGAGAATGGGTTGGGGTTTTGCTGAACTCATGAAAATACCATTTTAATCAGTACTTCAATATACCTGAATAAGAAAACAAGAATCGATCAATTTCACAATGATTGCTATTTCAAAGCACACATTTTCCAGGTTTTCACGTCCTGCAAAATAGTTTTCGGAACGCAACATACTGCTCCAGTAGGTATAACAATAAATAACTCGACAAGACTAGCAGATGGGCCATGGAATATCCACTGTGTGAAGTATTTCGTGGAAAAAATATTCATTATAGAGCAAACTTTATGGATAACAACTTCTATTATTCATGAGTGCGACGTTTCGATACAGATTCTTGTACCGTTGTCAAGTATAAAATGAAATGAAATGAAAATAGTCATTGCTTCCATGAAGGTAAACTTCCGACTGCTCTCCAAATCTATGAGTTTTCTGTGTGTGTAGATCCCCCCGAGGCGTTCAGTCAGAGGACGCATCGTGTGTTCAGGGGTGAGGACGTCAGCATCTGTCATGGGATTAGTGGCAACCCGCCCCCTGGGATCGTCAAGTGGAAGAAGGTCGGTGTGACGTCACAGTGGATAACCTCTGACTGTCGTCTTCGTCCAGTGAATGAATCCCATTCTGGAGATTATCTGTTTGTCATGAAGAACACAATGTTTGACAACATTCGCAAAGAAGAAAGGATTGGTACAGGCGTGCAGCTTGTCCGCTTGCTGGTATCATGTAAGTATACTTTTATTATCAACTTTTTCCCAAAAAATGGAAAGAGGTTATACGAACGACAAAACATCCAAATAAATCAAAACTGTCAATATGTTCCCCTTGGAATGATTTGAGCAACCCCAGTAAAGGCTCGAGATTATTTTATGATAATTTCATATCTGAAAATGATTTTCCCAAAGTCTGTCATAAATGGGACAGCGAATTGAGTGATCATTTAAATTGGAAGACTATATTTCTACAATGTATACACAATCTAACAAAGACACAAAACTCCTAGAGTTTCAATATAAATTTATATATGAAGCCATTTATACAGAAAGGGAGTTGCTTAAAATGAAACTGGTTGATAATGATTAATGTTCATCGTGTGGTTCGGTAAGTGAGAACATCTATCATGTATATATTGAATTCCAACTATTAGACTGTTTGGGAAGAGTTCATCAATCTTGTTAATAGACTATTGAACATAACATATGAACTTTGTACTATAGATATGTTCCTTTGCGCCAAAAGCAACCACCAACTAAACCACATGATTTCATTGGCCAAACGCCATATATATGTAATGAACATAAAGGGTTTGTTTTAAAAGATGTGTATCAAATTGAAAAGTATATTTGTTCGAAAAATATCAACACGGATTCATTTAATAGAAAATGGGATGTAATATCACCAGCATTGTCACTGTTCTGACTTCATCTTACGAGGATGCAGTACTTGCATGTCACTGTGATTCCACTATCTTGCATATAGTCTACTAGTCCCAGCACATAATATAATTGAATATGTGAGTGTTTCTTTCTATGCATGTTGTCTCTCACTTTAAGCTCGCATAATTGAACGTTTGTATCCAACTGAAGTTAAAAAAACATTTTTTTTTTTTTTAAACAAAAACAAAAGAAAAAAGTTTACTTTTATCTTTCCTTCGCATCCTCATGACATTATGTCCATGAATTCAAGGTGCCTGGTCTAGACATGATATTTACAGCTGGCGTGATGTATACATCGTCTGCAGCGTATAGCGGCATTCACTCTGCTGTTGCCGGGTTGTTTGGGTTAAGTGGGGCATTAGGCAATATGCTCCAGCTCATTTGGCGATAGGGGCGGTGAGGTAGCCTAGTGGTTAAAGCGTTCGCTTGACACGTTGAAGATCCGGATTCGATTCCCCACATGGGTACATTATGTGAAGTCCATTTCTGATGTCCACCGCCCTGACATTGCTGGCACATTGCTAAAAGCGGCGTAAAACCATGCTCACTCACTCGTTAAGTGACCATTGTCGTAAAAGGCGACTAACAGACTCGCTGATCTGGATGACACATATTATCGTATCCCAATTCCGTTTTATCATGATGTTGATCACTAGACTGTCTGGTCTAGGCTCGATTATTTACAGATCGTCGCCATATAGCTGGAATATTACTGGGTGCGGCGTTAAAACTAGAAACAAACCAACAAAGCCTATTTGTGATGGAATTGTGTTTGTTGAAGATGGTGCTCAGGTGATGTGCCCCAGTAACTACACAGCTGTAGAGAACACCACGGCTGTGTTGGAGTGTCACGTAGATGCTTACCCGGGTGCGAACATCACCTGGTCCAGAGAAGGAAGCCATGAAGCGCTACCACAGACTGGTTCCTCCCTCCGTATCCCCCATGCACAGCTGTCGGACGGAGGCAACTACACCTGTACGGCGTCCAACACCATCAGCGACTACACAGGCAGAACCTACAAGAAGGAGGATTCGTGCATCATACATGTCATCGTCAAAGGTAGGAAACGTTTTCTGATGTGTGAGTGAGTGAGTGTGTAAAACAAGTTGTAATTATTCAATTCAATCACGATCTGTCAACAGGAAGAAATGCCGAAGTGTTTCAGTTTGTAAACAATTACCAGTTTGCTGAAACCCAGAAGGACGGGTACACTGCTGACAAACCTAGTCACGGAGATGACGGGGATTCGGACCCACAATCTTTGGTTTCTGCCATGCGTTTAAAGCACTTAAATATTTACCACGTTGACTGAATTTACAGGAACGGTTTTCCTGCTGACAAATCTAGGAACACAGATTCGAACTCACCACCATAAATTTTGAGAACGCTTTAGAGTGCGTGAGTTTAGTTTTACACCGCTGTTTCGCAATATTCTAGAAATATCACGGCGGTTGACACTAAAAATGGGCTTCAAACATTGTAGTCATGTGGCGAATCGAACCCGGGTCTTCGGTGTGACGAGGGAACGCCTTAACCACTAGGCTAATCCACCGGCCCTTAGTTCAGAATCGAATGCAGGGTTCTAGTATTCGTATTATTGCCAACTATGCAACTATTCACTGGGTCACGTGAATGCGTTATTTGTTCCTTGATGATCTCAGTGCACTATTAATTTTAAGAACGCGAATTCCGCCGTTGATAGGCACGTGCACAGTCCGTCTCTCGGCAGAGCAGTGTATGAAGTCACGATACGGTTCATGTTAATCAAGCACGTACGTGCACGTGCACACACACAGGTACACATGCACGCACGCACGCACGAACAACACACATCACCTGCACTATTTATATAAGTTACCCATTCTTCACTTTATCGTAAAATCTCGAGATCAACTTCTGTACATCAAGTCCAAATTTACCAAAACGTATATATAGCAGTAATCTTTGTAATATTCCTATAGACTGTATATCTTGTTTTCTTGTACAGTCAATATGTCAGACGGAGCAGCCCCAGAAACAACTTCCATCTTTGATCTCTACAAAATCCACTTCATAGCTGCTAGCCTTGGGACCGTCGTTCTCGCTTTTGTCGTCGTGGATGTTGTCAAATGCATTCGGAGAAGGTCTAAACGTAAAGGTACGTTATTGTCAAGTAGTGGGTGAGTGAATGAATGAAGTTGTGGGTGATTGAGTTAGTAAGTGTGAGGGTTGGTGAGTGATTGAACGGGTGGGTGAGTGAGAGAGTTGTTGAGTGATTGAACGGGTGGGTGAGTGAGAGAGTTGTTGAGTGATTGAACAGGTGGGTGAGTGAGAGAGTTGGTGAGTGAGTAAGTAAGCGTTGGTGAGTAAGTGAGTGAGTGAAAAGGTTTTGACACGGCGTTGTTGTTTGATGTGGATTGACACGGTGTTGTCGTTTGATGTGGAATAGAAGCCCGAGGAGTGAGTGAGTGAGTTGGTGAAGAAATTAGGGAAAGGAGTTTGTCCCGGCCTGTCTGTTTGATGTGGATGGGAAGCTCAAAGAGAAGCAGATCCACAAAGTGTTAAACCTATGACGGCTACGAATATCCAGTACTGAGTGAATGAGTTGGGTTCCAAACCGCTTTGAACAGCAATCCGGTTACATCAGAAGGGCGCCTTCTATAAAACACAACTGTCAAGCACCTGCATCAGTATCCTTGCTACAGTTGCTCCATCACGTGTGTTTCAGGGGATGATGTACCCGTGGAAGTGGATGGGAGCGGTGACAGTCACAGCATACACACCGGTGGAAATAACAGGAAAGACTACGATAAACCCAGCCCTGACAACCAGGTGCAGCATCACTACAGGCAGGTCCACGCTGACGATGATGGTTGCTATGGTAACGTGGTAACAGCTGACACCCAACATTATGGAAATGTGTTCCCTGAGAACCAGTCAGGTTACTATGGCAATGTTACTGTACAGGAAGGCGAGAATACGTGTTATTATGGTAACGATGACGTTGTCATGGAAACTCATTCTCATGAATATGTAAATTTGTAAATCAGCAAATTCGATGTGTCGACATTGGACTTGCATTCGTCAAAAAGGAAGCATTTGGGAGGGTGGTTCTGTTTATTTTTCTGTTACTTTCCTGTTTATACTGTTAACAAATGTGTTTATTCCGAACATTATACACAGAACACCACTGTCTCCGTGAGCGGGTTTCCCAACACGAAATTTCTGAGGGATCGTTGATTATTAAATAATATAGGAAAGGTATTTTTATTAATGTTAGACAATGGCATTGTTGATCCTATATAACATGTCTCATGTGTGAGACATCTGGAGATTTATAGTTCAAATGAATCCGATCCTGTACAGTGCGTTGGCAGTTTCCAGAAAACTTGTAAACCTCGTCATCACTTAAAAGGAAGCAACGATTCATCAGGTCAGCATTATATGACCTGGCAACAATACTCGGAAATAGGTCATTAGATTTACTGTGGGATGCGAAAACAGAAAACACCATGATGGGCAGATAGAGATGCAAGTGTATAGTCGGATATTTCCATTTGACATTGCAACATTTCTTGTACTTTCATGTGTGTTTCCTCATGTCTATAGACATTAATTAAACCGAACATGGTGTTTGTGCATGTGTATTTGACAAACGAGTGGACCTAATGAGTGTGGAGTCTATTATGGCTTTACATCATCATCTTTGCTAGATACGATACGCCTAAATTTGAAATGGTTTTAAAGCTTCTTTTCAAAATGTATCGTGACCCTTTTTATGCATGTCGTAAGAGACGGCTAATCGATTGTGTGGTTACGTTCAATAACCATTGTATGCTATGGCATCGTATCTTAAGTGCGTAAGTCGATGCTTGCTCGCTCACTCACTTTTGTCTTGTGTGTGTTTTAGTTTGAAAACCATTTGGCAGTGAATAACATTTTTGAGAATGGGACAAATCGCAAAAATATCATGACGCAAAAATTTCGTGATTTACAGTATGTTGATGAATATGTGATGAATATATATTTAAAGGAGAAAATAGCGTATACACACGAGTGAAGATTTGTCTATGTCTTCGATTCTATGTGCGGTGCCTTCAGTGTATTCGATGTATATTATTGCCTTCGTGTTTTGTGATAGATATATGAATCTATGTATCCCTGCTTATTACTGATGTTGAATTGCACATCACATTTCACTCAACACGTGAGGAGCCGCTGACCTATCTGTACAGAATAAAGCTATAAACCAACTCCACTGTTCTTCTTTCTCCGTACCCTGCTTTGAATCAGTCATATTGCGGTCTGGCACTCATGGGATGAAAGCCCGAAGTTACACAGGTTAGCTTCACAAGATGGGTGATGGAGATGACAAACGTAGAAACACAATCGGTGATGACCACAGAGTACAACCGCCCCGTGAGTTTCCAGGTTAGAGTAGGGTCGCAAGATGTCCTGCTTACCGCTAGAGGCGACATGGGTTGGTGGTCTGACTTGCAGGCTCTCTCCAACGGTGTGGATTGTTTGTCAGATTGTCAATCGATGGTTTTTCAAGGCCACCATTGATTACATGCATGTTGCTGTAATGTTGTTGGAATGTTGCTGGAGTGTTGAAGGCACAAGGAACAGAGGGCCGAACAAATTGAACCCATGATCATCGGTGGCTGGAGCCACACAGACCTGTATACCTTTGTCTCAGGTTATTTGACTGTTCGCGTATATTTTCCATTCAGTGACAACATTATGGAAATGTTCTGACAACGTAGTTCCCTGACAAGAAGTGAGTGAGTGTGTCTATTTTTACGCTGCATTCGACAATATTCCAGCTATATGGCAGCGGTCTGTACATAATCGAGTGATGGTCTAGGACGTACATCCGTGTTCATCTTACGTCCTTCCATGGATGGAGTGATGGACTAGGACGTACATCCATGTTCATCTTACGTCCTTCTATGAATGAAGTGATGGTCTAGGACGTACATCCATGTTCATCTTACGTCCTTCCATGGATGAAGTGATGGTCTAGGACGTACATCCATGTTCATCTTACGTCCTTCTATGGATGAAGTGAAGGACGACTCGGATGTCAATTCGCAGATAGCTCCTGCCATTGAACTAACATTGATTTGCAAGCACGCGTGTAATAATATGCATTGAATGAGGAACGTTTCAGATATGAGCCAAAGCTTTCATAGTCACAACAAGCGATCAAATATGCATTGTTTGTGGTTTCTTTTCAATACGCATCGTCTTCTCGTTATTTCACAAGCTCCTTCATCCTCCAAACAGATATATAATTGTTCCCTTTTGAAATACGTGGTAATGTGAACCATAAAAGTCACCAAAGACGATTCACAAACTTAATATCATATTCATGAAAAACGTGGACTATTTGACCATAACGTGCGTATTTTGGGTTCCACACAGTTATGTGTTCCTAAACAGGGTAACCATGAAACAATACATGTTTCTCTCAAAGATGCCTTAAATTCAAGGATAAAGGAACACATTGTTTCCTTACAGACACTTCCTTTAAAAACTGTGTGAGCTTCGGTGGCTATAAAAGAAATTGCTAACTTACCTAAATATATTGAAAACTAAATGTATGAGTTCTGCAGCAATATTCCTAATGTTAACACTGGATACCTAATGCATTTCAATGTCAACGAATTGGCGTGCATTTAATTTATATTTGTTTTACTCAGTCAAAGTACATTACATTTTGTGCTCTCGGAGAACTCAGTTAGAAAGCCTAGGTGTCTCTTCTTCTGCACACAGGACTATTCATATTGGGCGTGATGCCTTCATTTAGTCGAACACGTCCCCATTTTGTCCCAGTTTATCCCTAGTATTTTGCTTTTGCTTCTAATCGGTGTCGCGCCCTGTCCTAGATCTGATATTTACGCAAAAACAAACGGCTAATGCAGTCAGTAAAAGGGTTCTTTTCGAAAGCATGACTACGAACCCGTAAGTGATGTTTCATTAATGACTGACTGACTGACTGAGTTTGGTTTTACGCCGCTTTTAGCAATATTCCAGCAACATCACGGCGGGGGACACCAGAAATGGGCTTCACACATTGTACCCATGTGGGGATTCGAACCCGGGTCTTCGGCGTGACGAGCCAACGCTTTAACCACTAGGCTACCCCACCGCCCTTCATTAATGAAATTATCGATTGACAAGTCAGATATACTATCTCTTAAAGATGAAAATAGAAGCGTAAAAACATTTAATCACGAGGAATCTCATAAAATTCAAGCTTGCTTCTTGCTTCTTGCCTTTGTGACAGTTTATATTCTGGCGATCACACAACTGGGAAACGATATACGTTTTTATGTTGCCAACTATATCTTTCTCTATCAAGATATTAGCTTTATTTTCCATAAGAGAAAACATGTACAATGTGTATCAGTTCACGTTGCTGCTTATGACATTTTCCGCCTTTGAGGTCACATTTAATATGTGGATAATATCTATCACAAGTGGTCTAAACAGTTTTCCAGACACACATAATAGAGATAATGCTATCCTGGTATGTTGGTCACCTTGGTATCAGTCACTCAAAGTAAGTTCACCCAAGGTTTCGAGAATTGTTTGAATGTAGATGAGGAAACATGTACAAGGCAATTGTCCGCTGTGTTGCGCTAATAGTAATCCATAATCATTCATCTTCTGCAACGCTGGACGCTGATGATGTTCGAGCTCCGTTTGGTCCTAAACTGTGTGTCGAGTGGTGTCAGAGACTTCCGAAGTGTCGCTCTCCAATCTTAGTCACCCATGACTTGTCATGTCATTTTAAAAATACAGTTGTCGACCACTGAATTCAACGGCAACGTATATGATCATCGTGAATGAGGTAAAGCACTGTTATTATTGTCAAACGTAAACTTTGAAGTGAGGTGAGAATATACCGAAGCATAATGCTGTCACTTTTGCAGTATAAAATATTTCTTTGAGCCAAATGTGTCGTTGCTTCGAGTATTTTCTCGCTACTTCACTTATTTTTTCGTTGATTCGATTATTTTCTTGTTACTTCAAGTTTCTCTCCAAAAATTGAAATTTCAAGTATGTTCTCGTTACGTCAAGTTTCATTTTACATTTTGAATATACTCGTTGCCTCCTGTATGTCCTCGTTATTTCAATTATCTTTTCGTTGCTTCCAGTATTTTCCCGTAAAAGACTGGTGAATGTGTAGGACCTGCATAAGTTTTCTGTGTGTCTCCGGATGAATGTTTCCTTTTAAAGTTGATGAAATAGAGTGATTTATACTAAATAAAGATCTTACATGTTGCTATGAGTTGCCCTATACAGCATGTATCTTTTGTTGTATCTCAGACACATTGCCCTGACAGCCGTCGACGACAGAAGACCATTGGGACCAGGAATCCAAGATTCGACACCCTACCTGGTAGGTGAACGTATTCTCTTTAAGCGCTGCGTATGATACAACGGAAGTAAATGAAGAAATATGACTTGCAAGTTGTCTGAACGCTTTACGCAGTTTTTGTAGGGTCAAGACGTTGTTTTGTTATAGGTTTTGACGTAGTTACATTTTTGAAAATAGAATAGGGTGACTTCAATAAGCGTGCCTGTGTTCGTGAGTGAGTGAATGTGTGTATGTGTGTTTACAGTGCGTGTGCGCGTGCGTGGGTGGGTTGGGGGTGTTACAGGAAGAGAAGTGTCAGGCAAACAAAACGCCTAAGAATGTTATGTAAATGGTGTAACTGACGGTCGATGGTGGCAAGACATGGCCAAAGTTTCGGGACAAGAAGATGTCATTACCTATGTACAGTTATATGTTCCAATAATGTTTATGGCTAATTTGTCTCTGACATAATCAAGTCTGGTTATATTCGGTTGACGCTTTCGCTTGTCACGCCGATTATCGGGTTTCATTTCCCCACGTGGTTCAATGAGTAATGCCCATTTTTGGTGTCCCCCAACGTGATTTTGCTGGCATATTGCTAAAAGCGGCGTACATCTGAACTCACTCATTCACTACAACGTGTGAAGCCCATTTCTGGTGTCCCCCGCCGTGATATTGCTGGTATATCGCTAAAAGCGGCGTCAAAATAAACTCACTCACTCACTTCGGGCATTGACCGTTCATATTTACTACTGCTTGAGATCATGCAGAGACTTCGTCGTTAATGTTTGATTAACTATGTTTCACTTCGTAACATTCGAAACACATGTCCAACATTTAGCTAATATGATTCTAAACACCGATAACATCTAGATGAAACGTTATGTGATGAGAAAAGGTTGAATTTGCGATTGACAGAACCATGTCCATGCTAGCACCTGTCTCCGTGAAGCTGGGGTAAATGGTGTCACCCCCTGTCTCTGCCAACACAGAGACGGATTCCACCACATACGTGCTGCCCGACTTCTACCCAGGACCAGCAATGGCGTGCTGGAGGCGTATTCTTAGGCGTGTCTATAGTACACAAGAAGATAAAGGCTTCCTATCCACTCAAACACGTCAGAATACATACATTAAATATTGATTGAATGAGTTTACTTTTACACCGCACTCAGCAATATTCCAGTTACATCACAGCGGTATGTAAATAATCGAGTCTGGACCAGACAATCCAGTGATCAACAGCATGTACATCGATCTACGCAATTGGGATATGATAACATGAGTCAACCAAGACAGCGAGCTGGCCACCCAATCCCGTAAGTCGCCTCTTACGACAGGCATGGGTTACTGAAGATCAATTCTAACCCGGATCTTCACGCGTACATATACTGACGGGCAAAATAAACTTTCTCCTCGTTCAATTTGATTATACTAATACAAGAAATAGAAGGTTGCAAGTCATTATCTGTGAAGCAATGACATAGGCACGTGCTAAGTACAAAGATTTTGCAACAGAAAGTTTCTTTTGCCCATCAGTATATACATTCAATAACGATAACAAACCTAATCCCAACCCACACACTACACAATATATATGATAAACGACATTTAACTACACAGATGTTAAATCCAGAATATACCCAGTGATAAACAATACTTATAAATGAATACTGAGAGTTAATATTGTTTGTACCTTTCAGGTGGGACTCGGAAGAACGCGGAATCCCACATATATCTTTTGAAAGACAGTGAACTACTTGTATATGCACCAGTTATACGGTCATGGAGGGTTGTGAGACACCGGCAAAATACCAGGGAATATGTTAAGGAAATAGCAGGTGGGGATGACAACTCGAGAGTCTACTATCTGGCTACTGACGGTCATCATTACAACATCAGCTACTACGACGTCAGCCGCAGCAATCCTACCGAGCCAACACCGATTGTGGGACATGGAAGATTAGGTACTTGCATTGACATTTATTTACATCAACTGACTGACTGACTGACTGAGTTGTGTTTTACGCCGCTTTTAGCAATATTCCAGCAACATTACGGCGGGGGATTCAAGAAATGGGCTTCACACAGTATGCCCATGTGGGGATTCGAACCCGGGTCTTCGGTGTGACGAGCCAACGCTTTAACCATCAGGCTACCCCACCCCCCTACGTCAACTGAAGAAAAGAGAGTGAGTGAGTTTAGTTTTACGCGGCATTTAGCAATATTCCAGCAATATCACGTCATGGGACACCAGAAAAGGGCTTCACAAAGTACCCATGTAGGGCTCTACAGGCGTGAGACCACTAGGCTACCCCTCCGCCCCCGAAACAAATGAGGAACACTGACCAGGTATAAGTGACAGCATATGGATGTCTCTCATTTCTTGCAGCTGCACGAGAGAATTTATGGATGTCAAATTATTTATTATGAAATGAAGTTGACATCCATACATTCTCACCTCAGGTGTATCCCTTTCAAATACCTCTCAAAGACACCGAGCAGTTAGTCAGGTTTTTGCCTTTGGGTGAATTTACGTAGATTTTGTATTATTGCATTATTAATCATATATGAAAAAAACAGAGATAGAATATTGTATCAGTACCAACTAATCGGTTCACTTCACGCCTCTTGCTGAAAGCATTAGCAATAAACCATTTCCTTCACGCATTCTTAATACTAATCTTATTGTTAACCTAGAAACCTATTCTGAGATAAATTCAGTGTGAAACATCTCTCCCGTTGTGAAATATGTTATCGAGTTTAACAAATCAATATAAACAACATGCTTGATGGGGTAGCATAGTGGTTAACTCGTTCGCCCCCGTTCGCCCGGTGTAACAGGCCAGAGTATACCCCTGTCCCAGACTATACCCAGAGTTAAACTGGGCTAGCCCAGACTATACCCCAGGTATAATCTGGGCTAGCCTAGTTTATACCCCGGGGTATATTCTGAACTAGGCCATAGTATATCCCCCTAGCCCAGATTATACCCCTACGGAAAACAAGTGATAAAGGATACTACTATAATTCTATTGTACTTCTCACACAATTAAACACTGGTTACAACATTGAAATGGTCCGATACATTTTCCAGATACAAAGCATAATCAGTGTGAGTTTTCAAGCTTAGAACGATATTAAAAAATCTCGCCCATGGTACCGTAAATAATGCAGATTTTTTAATATCGCTCTAAATTAGCCCAATTAAGTCAAAATGAATTGAAATTTGTGTCATGATGCTTATAAACATACGCTCATTCATTTACAACCTCCAAAACATAGAAAACATGTATTCTGAGTAAATGTAAATATTCTAGCCCAAGGGTGAGATTTTTTAATATCGCTCTAAATTAGCCGAATTAAGTCAAAATGAATTGACTTTTGTTTCATGATACCCATAAGTATACACTCATTCATTTACAACCTCCAAAACATGGAAAACATGTATTTTGAGTTAAAGTAAATATTCTCGCCCATTGGCCAACATATTTTTCTCCCATGGGCAAGATTTTTTAATATCGTTTTCTAAGTTAGTCGAATTAAGTCAAAATGAGTTAAAATTTGTGAAATGATGCTTATAAACATACACTCATTCATATACAACCTCCATAACATGAATTCTGAGCAAAATTAAACATTCTCGCCCATGGACGAATTTAAATTTAAAGTTTTCGAATTATTATTTTTCAAATTATTCATCCTTGGCATATATTCATAACAACTGCCTGTTTACTTTGGTCAAACCCCTTGTCAGAAAGTGCCCACAGTGCGGAGAGTTTCTGGACTTTTCTGAGTCCAGAATTAAATTGTGACGTGTTGTTACTTCATTTGAGAAGTATACATTGAAAGCATTTTCATAATGCTTCTTATTGCCATTTCTAGAATTAACTGTCGAAATGGCTGTCGATGATGGTGCTGGACTTATATTTGTTTTGAGCGTTACCAACACGAGACAGTGTCGACTTCTTGTGTTCAAGAACAAAGAGATCTCTAAGAACATCCTTCTGGAGATGTATCACTATGGGAGCGTCGATGTCGACAGGGCCCACAGGTACGTATATATTACCATTCGTCATCGCTTTCTGAGGTATAATACAGAACAGTGTGTGCATTTATTAAAACATGTAGTGAATCTGTCAATCACGACAATCACAAAGTCAAAATCATTAGTTCCAAGACAAAAGGAATTTACGGGAACCTGTGTGATAATGCACCTCATCAGTTCAAGGATATATGTTGTTCACTGACTCCAACACTACCTCACGCGCTATCTCCCACACTGCCTCCCACACTGCCTCCCGCACTACCTCCCACACTACCTCCCACACTACCTCCCACACTGCCTCCAACACTGCCTCCCACACTACCTCCCACACTACCTCCCAGCACTACCTCCCACACTACCTCCCACACTACCTCCCACACTACCTCCCACACTGCCTCCCACACTGCCTCCCACACTGCCTCCCACACTACCTCCCACACTACCTCCCATACTACCTCCCACACTACCTCCCACACTACCTCCCATACTACCTCCAACACTACCTCCCGCGCTATCTCTTAGACTTCCTCCCACACTGCCTCCCACACTGCCTCCCACACTGCCTCCCGCACTACCTCCCATACTACCTCCCACACTGCCTCCCACACTGCCTCCCGCACTACCTCCAACACTGCCTCCAACACTGCCTCCCACACTGCCTCCCACACTACCTCCCACACTACCTCCAACACTGCCTGCCACACTGCCTACCGGACTATCTCCCGGACTATCTCCCACACTACCTCCCACACTACCTCCTACACTGCCTACCACACTGCCTCCCACACTACGTGCCACACTGCCTACCGGACTATCTCCCACACTACGTGCCACACTGCCTCCCACACTACCTCCCAAACTGCCTCCCACACTAACTGTCACACTGCCTACCGGACTATCTCCCACACTACCTCCCACACTACTTCCCACACTGCCTCCCACACTTACTCCCACACTACCGCCCACACTTCCTCCCACACTACCTCCCGCACTACCTCCCACACTACCTCCCACACTACCTCCCGCACTACCTCCCACACTGCCTCCGAAACTGCCTCCCACACTACCTCCCACACTACCTCCCACACTGCCACCCGCACTGCCTCCCACACTACCTCAAACAGTACCTCACACACTGCCTCCCACACTGCCTCACATACTGCCTCCCACACTACCTCCCACACTGCCTCACACACTGCCTCACACACTGCCTCACACACTAACCCCCGCACTACCTCCCACACTGCCTCCCACAACCTCCCACACTACCTCCCAGAATACATTCGTGTTACTATCTCACACACAAGTACCTTTCCCTGACAGAGACCTAAAATCAAGCTAATTAACAATCAAATGACCGTAATTAATGAAGGTTTCAGGTTAATATTCAGATGATTTACTGACAAGTAGATTTGAATATGTGGACTGTTTTGCCAACGGATAATCTGAAGCGTTCAGACTTATTTGCAATACTTACTACCTTTGACTACAATCAGATTTGGCTGTGACCCATCACAATGTGTGAACTATGCAGGGATCCATACTCTGATGAAATCAGGCATGTGTTAACATCATGCAACCATTTCAGAGACTGCTATGATCAAACCTTCTCGTCATTTACAGGTAGTTTCAATTGAGATCTTGAAACTTTAAGCACTACAGATGAAGAGACATTACTCCAGTACATACTTGAAAGACAATGTGACATACAATTTGATGCAGACACAAGTAACAGATTCCATGATGTGTGTGCAGGATTTGTAGTCACTGGATGGCGATATATCAAACCTGTTATCAGCAGACACACACCGTGAAGGTGTATCAACGCCTTACTTGCATTGCCACGAAAAGTGACATTTAAACTGAACGTTTTCGCTACAATATGCTGTCTTGTATGAAGTTGAAATACCCTCTCTATTTGTTATCTACTAACGTTTTCTTTAACTGTTTGTCTGATATACCTATTATCCCCAAAAGGAGGAAATACAGATGATGATGATGATGAATGTGATGATGATGATGATGATGATGATGATGATGATGATGATGATGATGATGATGATGATGATGATGATGATGATGATGATGATGATGATGGTGATGATGGTGATGACGACGTCAGTCAACTGACATGCCATGATACAAACGAATCTGACCAATTCAATCCATACAAACATATGATTTGACATATTGCATTAAGACCAGTGTTGACGTTTTCCAGGAAGTTGTATATCGCCTACACGTGGCCAGACACTGCCTATGTGGGGAAAGTGGATTACGAAGGATGGGTGTGCGACAAGATCAGACTACCTGGACAATACCCCGCGTCACTGGCATACGACCCGAGAGGTGAGTTACACTGCAGTATGTCTTGGCCTTGCAGACATCATTTTTCACAATGATGTCATCGTCAGTTCCTCGGCTGGTTGTAACTCTACGGTTCTCTGAAATTTAACACTTCTTGAGAATAGACAACTTGTCCATTGCAAGTGCGGTGTTGATCGTAACAACGTTAACAAGTATAAGTTATCATTAAAGTGTTCCTTTTCAGCTCCTAAATGCCACTGTTCTCCATTCTCTTCCCATAGAGGTTACTTGTCATATCTTCCTACGAACCTCTGTTCTAATACGGCCATATTTCTCGGTTCTCGTAAAATCTCCTAGCGGCAAAAGATCGCAACACGAATTATCTCCCTTGTATCCATCCTATCAGAACACGTGTTACATCGACTTAGATTCAACTTGACTAACACAAGCAAATGTGAGGCCACAAATATCCCCCATCTGCCGGGGACTTGTGTTGATGTTACACACAAGACGTTTAATGGCTAGCTTGTCCGTTGTCAACGAGGGCGATGGAGACGCCACTGATCCGCCATAACATGACTTAGTTCTGTCTAGAAGAAACGTTTGCGCATCGGGCAGGGGAAGAGGTTTCGTTTTCTCGAAGTATATGAGACTTAAGCTAATGATTAACATCATGAGCTTTGATACATACACACTAACAGGCTTACTAACCTACCGAACCTAACTCACCTAACTAAGCTACCTATTAAACAGCCTAACTAACCAACCAACCTTACCAAACAACCTGTCTAACCAACCAATCCTACTAACCTACCTAGCTAACCAAACAACCTATCTAACCAACCAATCCTACTAACCTACCTAACTAACCAAACAACCTATCTAACCAACCGAGTCTACTAACCTACCTCACCAACAAACCTATTTAACCAACAAAGCCTATTAATCTACCTAACTAACAAACCTATCTAACCAACCAAGCCTACTAATCTACCTAACTAACCAACCTTTCTAACCAACCAAGCCTACTACTGACTGACTGACTGAGTTTGGTTTTACGCCGCTTTTAGCAATATTCAAGCAACATCACGGCGGGGGACACCAGAAATGGGCTTCACACATTGTGCCCATGTGGGGATTCGAACCCGGGTCTTCGACGTGACGAACCTACCTACCTAGCTAACTAACTAACCAATCTATCTAACGAACCGATCCTACTAATCTACCTGACTAACTAATCAACCTATCTAACCAAGCAAGCCTACTAATCTACCTAACATACTAACCTAGCTAACGAAACCAAACTAACTAACTAAACCCATTTAGTTTATGAAAGCATATTCATCAACCATACAAAATTACTAACCAAACCACTCTAACTAATTAAACCAACCTACCTAACCATACAAACCTCACTTCCTATCTGTCAATTTCAGGTTTCACTTCTAAGTTTATTTTGAGGTGACTGGGAGGTTATATTAAAATGGTCATTGCTTGTCGTAGGGACAAGCTGTGTTTTGTAAGCATGATATTAAATCTATAATAATTTGACTTTTCCAGACAATGTAGTATATGGGCTGGTCACTGACATGGGCAAGCAGCTTGTGTACTTCTTTGACTTTTCGGACGGGTCAGCAAAAAGAGCGAATATGATCCCAGGAGGAATGCAACCTAACATCATACTGATCGGTTTGACGACGTTTGCACTGATTGGAAGAAACGCGTAAGTAACAATAGAAAGTCATATTGAATAAATTTTTAAATGAAACGTTTCGTTAAAAGAATCGCCACTACTAACTGTGTCCCACTAAGACCCTGGTTTGTGGGTATGAGGAAACAGACAAAACCGATCTGTTTGTTTCCGCAACTCATTAGCCGTTCGGTGGACTTTGTATATACATCAGACAATTGGTGAGTGTGTGCCTTTTGAAATTTCAGCTGTTCGAAATTGTACAAATGAGGTTTCTTCCAGCAACCTGTGCTGGGTGTTAAGAGATATACAGCATGTAACGCAATAGATTGGGTGGTGTTACGGGATGATACCCAATCAAGTGAACTACACAACAAATTGTCATTGTCTGTTGACACCTAATACAGCTTAGAATTGATCTCCAGCAACTCATGCTTGTCGTAAGAGGCGACTATCTTGATGAGGTGGTCAGGCTTGGTTGACACACGTATCTCAATTGTGTGGATCGATGCTCATGCTAATGATCACTGGATTGTCTGTTCCAGACTCGATTATTCGCACACGACCGCAATATAGCTGGAATGTTGCTGAATGCGGCGTAAAAATAAACTCACTCACTCTTACGACAAGCATGATTCCTGAAGAAACATACTAATTCTGGATCTAGATTTTCATAGGTAGTTGCATCTGTCTTTGTCTTAGGCTATTTTCGAAACGATCGTAAAACTTAATATATCTTAGCTTAGATCTAAGATAGGTATATACCTGTCGTAACTAAGGTTGCGCGCACTTATAGTTACACCTTACCTTATTCAAGGAAATCGCTCTTATGATCGCGCTGAGATTATTTTAACTGTTGACATAACTTCTCACGACCTGTCTTAGTTATGAGACCCGTGAAGGTTCGGGTTAGAATGAGCCTTCAGTAACCCATGCTTGTCGTAAGAGGCGACTACGGGATCGGGTGGTCAGGCTCGCTGACTTGGTTGACACATGGCATCGATTCCCAATTGCGTAGATCGATGCTCATGCTGTTGATCACTGGATTGTGTGGTCCAGACTCGATTATTTACATACCGCAGCCATATACCTGGAATACTGCTGAGTGCGGCGTAAAATTAAACTCATTCACTATTAGTTATGAGAACTTCGATAATCTAGGCCCAGGTCTCCAGGTTTATCTCATTAAAGAGGCGAAGAGAAACGGGTCAATAATCCATACAGTACAGCAACACGTTTATGAAAGTCGGCGTCAAAGTTGACATATATTAAACAGCGAAAATTACTTCCACAGGGGAGTGCTGTATGACAGAAAGATTTCAGGAAGGACAAACATCGACGGAAGAAAATCTGAATCTGGTGTCATCTTGGAATATTCTTGACATTTTCCAGCTGCACGGGAATAGTGTGACTGTTCCTCTACTCCCAGAAAGCAATGAAGGATTTCGTCAGTTTTTTAAAGTCATCGTGTATCCTACACAGTGTATTACCAAGTCCTATTTGTGCACCACTATGGGTTGTTATGAGAAATAAAACAATGCGCTACGGGACATTACGAATTTTTGGGTCATAAGGATTTCCTTCTGGTGTGATAGCAAAATAGTATGTGACAAAATTTAAATAATTAGGGCTCCTTGCCTCTAGGCAGGAGACCTATTGTAATCGTTCGGATTATTATTATTATTATTATTATTATTATTATTATTTATTATTATTATTCCGACGATTTTTGTACCAAATATAACTCCTTAACCAATGCTCTGAATCACTTACAAAAAATCACACAGATGCGCACCGAGGTGTAGATATTCCCCTTAAAAATCTCTAGGCTCTTGGCCCAATAGCAAAGGGGCGATAATTCAAAATTAATTCCAAAATTTCAACGTTTGACAGCAAATATCTCAAAAACTAATTGTTCCGACACATCCAAATTTCTTGCACAGATGCACAATCGAATACCCAACAATTTTGCCTGGACGGGTCAAGTCGCTAAAACGTACCGTTTGGCAGTTATTTTTCTTTTCAGTTTTTCTGAGTAGTTTGCACCCAAAATGTCGAATTCTGCCCAAAAAGAGCCAGTATGGTAGATGATGTCCTTGGTGATTCCAGAACACTAATTGTTTTGAACGTAGACCCAAGAACGACTGAGATACAGCCTTTTAAAGAGGGAACTATTTCTTCTCCGGAACTACTTAAAAGGTACATCATCCCCGTGACCCCGGCTGTATTTGGAAGATCCGCTCGCCTGTCAAAACGTGTTCTGGCTCCGTTTTGGATGATGATTTCTAGCCCTCAGATACAATAGATAGAAAGTAAAGCCAAGGAGACCTCATCGTTGCCCGTAACTAAATTTGGTATTATTTCTAGAAGCAATGCTAATTGGTACGAAACTGGATCAAAAATGTACAGAATACCCTATGAGCCTGGAGAAAAGAAGTTACGTAAATAAAAATATGGCCGAAATGTTTTATAAGTGAAATGCTAGTATCCTATTACCCAATCGCAAAAATATTCAGATATTCAAAAGGCTGATCCTTCGTGTTATAAACGACTCTATACTAGTAGACAACTGGGTTTGTGAAACTAGATATATGCAGATTAATTGACCCACAATTAAGTGACAAACGAGATCGGACCTGTGTCATGACGGTAAATTAGATATACATGTACATATGGTGAAGAGACAAGGTATACTATTGGAATGAAGTTACAGTGCATTATTTGATATTGTGCCATTTTTTTAATGCAAAAAGATAATACCATGATTTGTGGTCGTTTCCTTAATCACAGTTTAACTGTTGACAGTATAATTTCGAAATCTGTATGATTTGACACTAGGGATCGAGACACGCCCTTGAAGAGATCTGGTGTTAAAAGTCAGTTCACGAATTCAATATCGTGTGTGTAGGCGTTAATTCAGACTGGACAACGACGACGCATAAATGACACTTAGCGATTGCAGAAAGCTTAGGGAATGTTGTCCCATGTCTGAACCAACTCTTGTCCCAATTCAGCTACCGTCAATGGTTGATTCTGGGCTTGACGTAAACGTCGCTCCATTTCACCCCAATCGCGCTCGATAGGGGAGAGGTCCGGAGAAATAGCTGGCCAGTTGTCTACTTTGGGAAACACACTGACAACCAGGTACAGCACCACCACAGACAGGTTCACGTGGAGCTGGTGGTCTACCATGGGGAGCACGTAGACACCCAGGTTCAGCGCCACCACAGACAGGTCCACGTGGAGCTGGTGGTCTACCTTTGGGAACACACAGACAACCAGGTACAGCATAACCACAGACATGTCCACGTGGAGCTGGTGGTCTACCTTGGGGAACACACATACAACCAGGTACAGCATCACTACAGACAGGTCCACGTGGAGCGAGCTGGTGGTCTACCTTGAGTAACAAACAGACACCCAGGTTCAGCACCACCACAGACAGGTCCACGTGGAGCTGGTGGTCTACCTTGGGGAACACACAGACAACCAGGTACAGCATCACCACAGACAGGTTCACGTAGAGCTGGTGGTCTACCTTGGGGAATGTAGTGTATGGGCTTGTGTGGCAGATACATGTATGGGAGACAACTCCTGCAGCCTTATGTGACGGTAGCGGCAAGCTGATTAGAGTTTCGTCCCTTGGGGACCCCTGCTTGTAGCCCCCACTTCCTGAGTAAACGCTCAACGTAGAAGTCATGATATTTTGTGTTCTGTTCGGCCACGGCCTTGTGTATAAGATTCAAATACACAACAAAATAATTGGCGACGAGGATGGGATACCCGCTAACAAAGCTACGGCAAGTTGAACTACGAGTTCTTTAAACGTTTTTAACGATCTACGGATCAAAGCAGTGTGGAAATAGGCCAGTGTGACATTCAAACAGTGAAACCACGTGTTCCTGATTTGGACTTTTTATTCTTATTACGATAAGGATCATTTATCAGGATGTGCGTTGATATTCGTCATGGAGAATGAAGAAACAGCACCAGTCAACACTTTTTGTGTGCCTGTTCCCAAATTTTCAGGTAAGAAGGAAGATTTTCCAACGTATGCTGAACGTCTCCAATCGAGCATGACGGCCAATAATATAGTGGATGACAAAAGAATTATTCACATATTTATTTCTTCCATGGGAGATGAACTATACAAATTGGCACGTGACTTATTTTCACCAGCGAAAGTAAGTGATTAAACATCTAAGGATGTAATAGACAAACTTTCACAACATCTCCACCCCCCTCCTAACGTTATAACAGCTCGCTGTACATTCAATAGGACAGTTCGTAAAGCAGATGAAGGCATAAATACGTTTGTGGCTAACCTGCGCAGAATTGCAGAAGATTGCAATTATGATGGACATTTGACAATGTGGTTACGAGACAGATTTGTTGCCGGGGTGTACAGTGAAGCAATTAGACGACGGTTGTTACAGGAGAAAGCTACAATGACATTCCAAGCAGCCTATCAAATAGCGTTGTCGATGGAAACAGCCAACAAGGAAGCCAAGGCGATTCAAGGCAGCACCTCCTCAATCAACAAGTTGTCAACATCTCAAAGAACTGGACCACCTAGAAACAAAAATAAAGGTGACAAGTACAAACCATGCACAAGGTGCAACTCGACAGAACATCTGCCACCAAATTGTCCTTACATTTCAGCCAAATGTAATAACTGTAGAAAGGTTGGACACATCTTCCGTGCGTGCCGGAGCGCTAAAACAAAGGATACAAAAAGGAAACAGCCCAAGGGTAATCCTAAGAAATCTACTCATCACATTGATGTTGAGGAGCCAGACGTGGAAGCAGAACATGAAGATGTGTTTGAGGAACTGTTCATGATTTCTTCTGTACTGCAGGAAGGAGGTACTGGAAAGTGGAAGAAGACTGTGATGGTAAATGAAAATCCGATGAGGTTTGAGGTGGATTCAGGGTCAGGTGTTACCTTATTCAATAAGGAAGTCTACAAGTCAACATTTCCAAACATGCCATTGACTGAAAGCACATGGAGACTAGAAGCATATCTAGGACTTAACATTCCAGTATTGGGAAAACTAAGTGTGAAGGTTGACACAGAGCCGGAGATGAGAACACTGTCTCTAGTGGTGGTGGACGGGAATGGCTCATCGTTGTTAGGAAGAAACTGGTTGAAGTACATGGAACCTTGGAAAAGTGTTCTCTCAACACACAACATCAAATCTTCGGGGATGGGCCAAGACAGCATTGGTCAACTGTTCCCAGAATTCCCGGAAGTGTTTGACGAAGGTCTAGGACATCTCAAGGAATGCACAGTGACATTAGATGTCAGAACAGACTCCCATCCAGTATTCTGCAAAGCTCGCGCAGTACCACTTGCGCTGAAAGAAAAGGTGGAGGAAGAAATTGATAGAATGGAAAAGGAAGATATTATTGAGAGAGTGAAGTACTCACAATGGGCCACTCCAGTTGTTCCCGTCCTGAAGTCATCTGGAGAAGTGCGGCTGTGTGGGGACTACAAAACAACTCTCAACAGGTTTCTACAAGTGGAGACTTACCCAATTCCCAAGGTGGAAGAGCTGTTAGCTAATTTGAATGGAGGTGAGGAATTCACCAAATTGGACTTAAAACATGCTTATCAGCAGTTGGAACTTGATGAGAAGTCAAGAAGATTGACTACTATCAACACTTCCAAAGGGTTTTATCAGTTCAAACGTTTACCATATGGTGTGAGCACAGCACCAGCACTTTCCAGCGGACAATTGAGATGGTTCTCAAAGGGCTGAAAGGAGTGGTCGTGTTCATGGATGACATATGTGTCACTGGCCACAACAAGCGACAACATATGTCCAACCTAAAGGCAGTACTAGGAGTACTAAAAAAAAGCAGGACTGAAACTGAGACAAGTGCAAGTTTTTCCTGAAACAGGTGGAGTTCCTTGGTTTCAAAGTGGATAAGGAAGGAATACATCCAACAGAAGAAAAAGTCAGGGCAATCCAACAAGCACCAGAACCCAAGAATGTGTCTGAACTCAGGTCATATCTGGGAATGCTGAATCACTATGCAAAGTTCATGCCTAACCTTGCAAGTACAGTGGCACCACTGTATGATCTTCTGAAGAAGGACAAGGACTGGTACTGGTCAAAGAAGGAGCAAAAATCATTCCAGGAATCAAAAGAGTTCTTAATCAACGATACCTTCCTGGTGCACTACAGTTTGAATAAACCTTTGGTACTATCCTGTGATGCTTCACCATACGGAGTTGGAGCTATGCTGCAGCACCGCATCGATTCGGAAGAGAGACCTGTGGCATACGCTTCTCGAAAACTGACCAGCACAGAACAAAACTACTCACAGTTGGAAAAAGAAGGACTTGTCATTGTCTTTGGAGTGTCAGACAATACCTGCTGGGACGTCATTTCACGCTGGTGACAGATCATCGTCCATTACTGAGATTGTTTTCGCCTTCAAAGGAAACTCCAGGGATGGCTGCATCGCGCATCAAAAGATGGGGACTGATACTTGCTTCATTCAACTACGAGATTGAATACAGAACCTCTAAGCAGAATGCTCCAGCTGATGGGTTGTCACGACTGCCCCTCATATCAGAGCAAGATGATAGTGGTGATCACAACAGTGAATTGATCCTTCTGATCAATAGGTTTGACGAAGAATTGCCTATCACTGCAAGGCAAGTTGCTATGGAAACTAGGAAAGACCTAGTGATGCGACAAGTTCGATTGCTCACACTAGAAGGATGGCCACAGTATACTGAGGGAGATTAAACAGACTTGACGCCAAGTGTGGAGCAAGGTGTTGTCTTAGGGGGCACAAGAGTAGTTATCCCAAGTGACTTCAGAGAGGCACTGTTGGAAGAGCTGCATGGTGAACATTCAGGAATGCTTAGAATGAAGTCGGTGGCCAGACCAATCATGTGGTGGCCAGGACTAGACAGTCAGATTGAGGAAAAGGTGAGACAATGTCCTGATTGCCAGGAGATAGCAAATCAACCTGCAACAGCTCCGCTGACAAGTTGGAAGTGGCCATCATCGCCATGGTCACGACTTCATATCGACTTTGACGGACCATTCCAAGGACACTCCTTCCTAGTCATGGTGGATGCACACTCCAAATGGATGGAAGTAATTCCATTATCGTTAACCACAGCCACAGTCACTATCAAGCATCTCAGAAAAATCTTCTCAACATTTGGTCTTCCAGAGCACATTGTATCGGACAATGGGGCACAGTTTACCTCTGAAGAATTCCAGACATTCTTGAGGAGGAACAACATTCGTCACACTAGGACAGCGCCAAAACATCCAGCTACTAATGGACAAGCTGAAAGAGCTGTGGAATCTTTCAAGATGGCACTAAAGAAAATAAAAAACCAAACAGGTGATGTTCATGACAAACTGCAGAGGTACTTATTCTCATACAGAACGACTGTCCATGCTGCAACAGGGAAGACGCCAGCTGAGTTGCTCATGAGGCGCTCATTACGAACTCGGTTATCAGCGTTGAGACCGACACGAGAAGGATTGATGATCAAAAATGATGATGCAGAAACTGAAGTGCCAAGATTCTTCAATGTGGGACAAGCCGTCTTTCTTTTGAACTTTGGAGTTCAAGGCTCAAGATGAGTACAGGGGACAGTTTTGGAACGCATGGGTGATAGGAATTATCATGTCTCCGTCGGACAACAGGTGTGGAAGAGACAAGTTGACCAGATAAGACCACGTCTGGAAATTTTACGACAGTCAGTACAAGGTAACCCGGAGATGTCAGTGTTTCTAGGATCAGCAGAAAGCACAGTGAGGGCACAGCAACCATGTGTTCTTGTGGGATCTAAGGGGTTGACAGAACCAAATGTGGAAATTGAAGTCAACCAGAAGCAGGTGTCGGATGCAGAAGAACTAAAGGAGAGGCGTTATCCAACCCGAGATTGACGTCCTGCAGTTCGATATTAGTGTGAGAAGTGAAAAGACTGTAAATGTGTTGTCAGTGTTATCAGTAAATATTAGCGCCCAAATTAGGCTATTTTCCTTTCAAAGTAAGAATATGGACATTTCAGTTTACTGCTAAAGACTTTAATTTGTTCAAATGGAAGAGTTTGCTTCTAGTCAGTTTTCAATATTCCAGTTGTGTTAAAGTTTCTTGCAATTTTGTAGGAGCAACCCAAAAGTTTCCAGCGGTGAAAACTTAGAGGGGGGGGGGGGGAATGGTGTAGTGTATGGGCTTGTGTGGCAGATACATGTATGGGAGACAACTCCTGCAGCCTTATGTGACGGTAGCGGCAAGCTGATTGGAGTTTCGTCCCTTGGGGACCCCTGCTTGTAACCCCCACTTCCTGAGTAAACGTTCAACGTAGAAGTCATGATATTTTGTGTTCTGTTCGGCCACGGCCTTGTGTATAAGATTCAAATACACAACAGGGAACACACATACAACTAGGTACAGCATCAACACAGACAGGTTCACGTGGAGCTGGTAGTCTACCTTTGGGAACACACAGACAACCAGGTACACCACCGCCACAGACACGTCCACGTGGACCAGGTGATCTACTTTGAGGAACATACAGACATCCAGGTACAGCACCACCACAGGCAGGTCCACGTGGAGCTGGTGGTCTACCTTGGGGAACACACATACAACCAGGTACAGCATCACCACAAACAGGTCCACGTGGAGCTGGTGGCCTACATTGGGGAACACACAGACAATCAGGAAGAGCATAAACACAAACAGATCCACGTTGAGCTGGCGGTCTAACTTGGGGAACACAAAGACAACCAGGTACAGCACCACCACAGACAGGTTCACGTGGAGCTGGTGGTCTACCTTGGGGAACACACAGACAACGACGTACAGCACCGCCACAGACAGGTCCACGTTGAGCTGATGGTCTACCTTGGGCAACACAAATACAACCAGGTACAGCATCAACACAGACAGGTCCACGTGGAGCTGGTGGTCTATCTTTGGGAACACGCTGACAACCAGCTACAGCATCACCACAGACAGGTCCACGTGGAGCTGGTGGTCTACCTTGGGGAACACACAAACAACCAGGAACAGCATCACCACAGACAAGTCCACGTGGAGCTGGTGGTCTACCTTGGGGAGCACACAGACAACCAGGTACAGCATCACCACAGACAGGTTCACGTGGAGCTGGTGGTCTACCTTTGGGAACACACAGACACCCAGGTACAGCACCACCACAGACAGGTCCACGTGGAGCTGGTGGTCTAACTTGGGGAACACACAGACAACCAGGTACAGCACCACCACAGACAGGTCCACGTGGAGCTGGTGGTCTACATTTGGGAACACACAGACACCCAGGTACAGCACCACCACAGACAGGTCCACGTGGAGCTGGTGGTCTAACTTGGGGAACACACTGACAACCAGGTACAGCACCACCACAAACAGGTTCACGTGGAGCTGATGGTCTACCTTGGGGAACACACTGACAACCAGGTACAGCACCACCAGAGACAGGTCCACGTGGAGCTGGTGGTCTACATTGCGGAACACACAGACAATCAGGTACAGCATCAACACAAACAGGTCCACGTGGAGCTGATGGTCTACCTTGGGGAACACACTGACAACCAGGTACAGCACCACCAGAGACAGGTCCACGTGGAGCTGGTGGTCTACCTTTGGGAACACACATACAACCAGCTACAGCACCACCACAGACAGGTCCACGTGGAACTGGTGGTCTACCTTTGGGAACACACATACAACCAGGTACAGCATCACCACAGACAAGTCCACGTGGAGCTGGTGGTCTACCTTGGGGAGCACACAGACAACCAGGTACAGCATCACCACAGACATGTCCACGTGGAACTGGTGGTCTACCTTTGGGAACACACATACAACCAGGTACAGCATCACCACAGACAGGTCCACGTGGAGCTGGTGGTCTACCTTGGGGAGCACGCAGACAACCAGCTACAGCATCACCACAGACAGGTTCACGTGGAGCTGGTGGTCTATCTTGGGGAACACACATACAACCAGGTACAGCATCACCACAGACATGTCCACGTGGAACTGGTGGTCTACCTTTGGGAACACACATACAACCAGGTACAGCATCACCACATACAGGTCCACGTGGAGCTGGTGGTCTTTTGTAAAGAAGTGGGGTTTCAGACTTGTTTGGAATATTTCGATTGATGTTGCAGATTTTACTTCATGTGTCAATGAAAATGATCTTTTTGCCAATTTTGTTTTTGTTTTTGGTAAAACCATTCTTTGATCGCGAGCAGACCTCAGAGCATGTTAGAACGAGGACTAGAACTGGATCCTGTGCTTGACCGGAAGCCAGTGCAACTGTTTCAATGCAGGAGTGATATGGTCGAACTTTCCTGTCTTCATGATGACTCTTGCAGACATGTTCTGCACCCGTTGAAGGTGTGATGACGCACTTGATTCGATCAGGAGAAAGTTGCAATAGTCTATTGATGACGTAACATAAGAGTGTAACATGTAGCTAAGTGATGTCGGTGTCTGATTGTGCCGATGTTTCTAAGATACACCCTGGCAGTGCGGCACACCGTACATCAAGTCACATGACTGGGATGTCACACTGTCGACCCGCACACTCATCTTGCAGCATCCTGTTATCCATGTAGGGGCGGTGGGGTAGCCTAGTGGTTAAAGCGCTGGCTCGTCACGCCGAAGACCCGGGTTCGAATCCCAACATGGGTACAATGTGTGAAGCCCATTTCTGGTGTCCCCCATTTCTGGTGTCGTGAGTCGCGGCATCCTGCTGACGTTGTAATGTGAATGTTTCAACCAGGTTTGGGGGTGCATCGTATGGGGCTGGTCTTTGTGCACAGCGCATGCAGCATGAGTTACATGAAAAACATGTACCATCTCCGAGATCCGGTTGCGTTTTTGAGACCATTTCCTGGGTTCCATTCTGAGTTTGGGAAGGAAAAAATTGCTCCGGTAAAATTGGAGATGTTGTCAAAAATATGCAATCGAAACATTAAATGACTTTACAGTTATCCGTTTCTGCGAAGAAAAATTCCAAACTGACGTTTCTCTTGCTGCTTATTATATATTGGTTCTGCCAAAAACACAGTTCATCAGACGTTTTAATAATATACAAAACATAAATATTGACTGACAATTTTATTATTACGTACGTAAAATCACACAATGGAGAAACGAGTGAAAAGAAAGTTAGGGTTAAAACAAAGATGAAAACTAACATGGACTTATTTAACCCCCTTTCATTTCTTAAGTAAACTAAACAAACAAAATACCCACATAATATACTATACAAACCAAGTAAGGATATCGGACTTTGATGGCTGATGAGAGGCAACGTGTGAAAACGAGAACGGAACAACTAATGAAGAACTTTTAAGGGACCATATGGAATTTTTTATTCCATACATTTGATAATGCCAAACAAACAAGGGCAGTCTGTGGTATGGGTCAAACTACACCAAGGGTCAGTCTGCAAATGTACCATAAAGATAAAAGAGTGTACGTTGATAATTAAACGTAACAGAGCCTTCTTCAAGCAAACATCATGTGGAATACACATAATGTATAGATGATAAAATGTTTATCTTTTTAAAACTAATAGTGACAGCAGCCAATGTTAACACGTGGACGGTTCTTAGAAAATGTGCTTGAAATGTCACAGGAGCTGATTCAAGGGAAAATCACGGAGACAGTGCTGTTAGTCGTCAGCGCCGTGCTCGCAGAATTTACAATATTAAGGCTTTCCATGTAGTTTTCTGTGTTTTCCATCGTCTACCCACCCTGAACGTTCATTCCGACGTGAAAAAATAGACGTTCCTAATCATCAAGTGGTAAATAATACTCTCACCTGTGTGCACTCATAAAAACACCAGGTCAGCTTGATATCTCTTCGTCTGAACTCTTTAGAGATGTTTCCTTAGCAAAGCAATTTTATCTACATCATAAATTAGTTTAAAGAATGTGTGAAACTGTTTTATTCATGAAGCTTAAAGGCCACAGGCCCAATGAACATATAATTTACAATACATTAAAAAGGTATACACAGATATACATAACATTATCATATTAAACAGAAGAAAATGTATAAAGACTATTCCCAAGTGATCTAAATCTTAAAATGAGTTAAAAATAATTAATGAAAAACATGGCTTCTTTCATTTTTATTTGTCTCTTGTTGGTTTTTGTTGGAAATGAGAAAAGCTTAACGACATACGAATGGCAAAAATAAAAGTTTATATATATGAATGCGAGACCACGGGATCTATACACATTGTCACCACTGACGCATTCTCTCACTTCCGAGTTTGTACAGACCGCCGTTATGCAGCTTGAATACTGCAGGGCGCGACGTGAAAAAAAAACATCAAACGAAACAAATATCAAGCTAGATAACAGACTGTTACAACCAGTAACAATTGAGTGTTAATTTTAATAAACTAAATAAATACTTAAACTATATACTGGGATGATCACTTGAGGAATACAGAGACTGGTGGTATTTTACGGGGATGTTGCCTCATGTCCAGAATCTTCAAAGATGACCCCTGCATTGGCATTTCTTCCGGCTAGAGAGGTAATGTTTCCTTCGGGATTTCTTTCGAAGATCTCTCCCCTTCGG